CCGGCTGCAGCGGCCCAGCCAGGTGCCTGGGGAGGTTTGGAAGGCCGGCGTCCTGCAGCTGCTCGGTGGAAACGCGTCGTTGTAAGGGCCCTGTGTCGCCTGGGAGAGCAGCAAGCCCCAGGCTGTGGAGCCGGCGCTCTGCCTGCGAGGGCAGCGGAGCGTGCGGTGCTCGTCTGCAGGACAGGCAGCACGCAGAAAACATGGTCGGGTGCAATTGCATTTTAAGCTATTGCAGTTAGGATTTCGTGAGAAATAAGGGCACGTCAATGAATTAAGTATGATATACTTATCCCAGAGAGGGGGTGGAGTCCCCATCCCTGCAGGTGTTCAAAAAACGGGCAGAGGTGGCACTGGGGGACATGGTTTAGTGGGCATGGGGGTGTTGGGTTGATGGTTGGACTGATGATCTTAGAGGGCCTTTCCAACCTTAGTGATTCCTAGTTTTACTTTCATTAAAAAAATAATCCAGCCACCAAGCCAGGAAACATGAAAATGCTGCTCTCCCCTTAACTGGTTTAGTGGTGAACTTGGCAGCGTTAGGTTAATGGCTGGACTGGATGATCTTAAAGGTCTTTTCCAACCTAAACGATTCTATATACATTCACAGCTGTAGATTGTGATGGTACATCAAAAAATCCAAGGTATATAAGACAGTACAATTCTAAATTCATAACATTGCAACCCTAAGGGGAGATGTCAAACATAATTAGAGTGAGTGTGAGATTCCTTTATTTGTGTTCAAACCCGTTACCTTCTTGCTTTTCCCTTTGCCTGTCCCCGTGCCCTTCAAAACAAAACCTTTGCCCTTCAAAACAAAACCTTTAACAGTACAGGTATAAAGAACGGATCCCTTATTCCCATCTGTATTTGCACTAAAGACTCTGTGATGTGGCACCTGGGGACATGGTTTAGTGGTGGAATTGGCAGCGTTAGGTTAACGGTTGGACTCGATAGTCTTAAAGGTCTTTTCCGACCTAAACGATTCTACGATTCCAAGTGTCCCACAAGCTTCATTTTCACCATACAGCCAGCCACAACTGGTACCACCACTGCAATTTACTGCTGTGAAAGCATCTTCTGTTTACAAATCCTTACTAGAAATTGGCCAATTATTCTAAAGTCTTAATTGTCATCCTGATCTGTAAAAGAGAGTCATAGGATCATTCGGGTTGGAAAAGACCTTTAAGATCATCCAGTCCAACCATTAACCTAATGCTGCCAAGTACCCCACTAAACCAGTTAAGGGGAGAGTAATAATTAATTTCATGTTTCCTGGCTTGGTGGCTGGATTATTTTTTAATGAAAGTAAAACTAGGAATCATTAAGGTTGGAAAGGACCTCCAAGATCATCAGTCCAACCATCAACACACCACCCCCATGCCCACTAAACCATGTCCCACGTTCTGATTATTGTCATTTCTGTGCTGGGTACAAGTGACAATGCTGTTCATGGTTTGAAGTGACTACTGCATCACAGGCTACTTTGCACGTGGAAGCTTTTTTGCATGTTCCCTGTTATTGAGGAACCCGAGCCCCTGCCCGGTTTGAGGGGCTTCACTTTGTTTAAACTTGGTCACAGCAGACACGTTTCAGAACTGCTCAAAGCCACGCGAGGAGACGGCGGCAGTGTAGCTACTCCCTTGCTGTTTCTCTCTACGCTCCTTCCCTCTCTGCCTGTTTGCTGTTCACCCTTTTGCCCTCATCCCTGCGCATTACCTGGGAGACCCGATCTTCAGCCTCTGCCCCACTTTGAATCACTATTTTGCATCTGCCGGGTAAAACATGTCCCAGTTTTGCCTCAAAACCAGGATTCCTGCAAAAAACCGCTGCTCCTTTTTACTGCATATGCCTAATTAATTTTGAAATGATCTGCCCGCGTGCTGTAAGCCATGCATTGAAACTTCAGCCTTCCTGAAAGGACAGGAAGAGAGGGGAAATCGCTTTTTACCTGTTTTTTTACTTGTAATCTTTAGTACTGGCTTTTATTTTAATAAGAACTAGTGTTTTACCAGTCAATAAAGACAAAAAGGAAATTATACTCAAGCTGTGCTTCAAATCGTTCAGTACTCCAATCCAATGCATCAGCAATGGAAACATCTACCACTGCTTTTTTTGGCAAAAATTTTACAAAAAATACAAAAAGGCCTGCACACCTTCCGTGTTTTATCTGTTCCACGTGCATACCGTCTGGTTTCCTTGAAAGACAGATACATGAAAACAACTGATCCACACTGTACCCTCCACACCTCTGAATTACATGAAGATTATAAGGAATACTTTACAATAGGTCTACCTACTTTAGAATTTAAAGACTAGCACGATCCTATTCTGCCTCAGGCCAGCGTTACCATGGCTCATCAGGTTTGCTACATAAACCAAAATACAGCTTGACAGCAGAGAGATGACGCAAGTGCCACAGGGATGAGAAAAAGAGTATTTCGTGTAAGAACGGTAACGCTGGTATCTGGAACAGGACGAAGCTGAGTTCTGAGATACTCCCACTGTGCACAGATACAGAGCGAGTTATGAAAGAAAGCGCTTAGCTTAGAAATTCAGAATTTATTTACAAGTTTTCACTAAAAAAAAAAAAAAAAAAAGGGGAACAACATAAAGCTCTCCTCCTGGATATACTCTACTCTGCAAAACACCGCAATTGAAGATCGTGAAATTCATTCACACGTTTTACAGATTTATCTTTGTGTACAACAGCGTACGCTTTAGTCATCAAGACGTCAGAAGAAGAGATGATCAACTAAGCTGTTCTGTCATAATGAAACTGCCAGGTTTCCTTTGGCCTTCCCCACTTTAAAGACAAGCTAAAAACACTTTGGCAGATGTAAGACTTCCAACTTTTCTGAAAAAAAGTACACGAGAATCAGCCTTTTTCGGTTCAGGCTTGCCGTGTAACATCGGACCTAAGCAGTCTTAATTGAGACAAGATCCGTACCAAAGCAACCATCGAGATTCTCTGTGACAGAACTGCAAGATCACACCCATCGTTCCAATTTCAGTAAGCTGTTGATCTCACAGAGGAAGATGGAGGGCGGGGGAAGAAGCCGCAGTAACAGAAGAGGCTGCAAATTTGCTGTTTTTTTAACAAAGAATTGCATTTGCAGAGGGCACATTTCCCAAGCAGCTCAGAATACAAACGGTTCCCTGCTTCCAACACACTAATCACCACGCAGAAGTTTAACACACATTTTTAAAAGCATAACAATCCTTGATGCAACAGTAACAAATGCTAATCACTAGTATCACCTGCTAGTCTAAATGAACACAGAGTCGCCCAGCTTTAGGTACAGCTTTTTTTAGATTTTGCATAGCAATTGCACCTATTTTCAACGTACTTCACCATCAGCATGAAACATTATTGATTTTAAAAGACTACCAGACATCAAGAGAAAAATCCCGTTCCTGATCAAACCAGGAACATTCAACTTCCGATGAGAACTGAATCAGGACTTTACCCAGCTGTTTTTTGTCTCCCTCAATATCACAACTGTACTTCAATAACTTGTAACATGTTTGTAGAGCCTAATTCGTATTCTCTTAAATAGTACTGCGGTAGGAATTGAAATAAAGAGACGTCGTTGTTTTTCTTAACTTAAAAATTGGGAAGTGTACTGAAGGAAATTCATCCCTGAGTAACGAGACATTTAAAAACCGCATCCTATCGACAAGTGTCGTGACGAGTTACGACGCACACTCTAACAGTCAACGCTATGCACAGGCAGCAACAGAACTTGTCACAGTCCAATATATTTGCAGCGTTGTTGCATTGATCCCATTATCTCGGTTAATGAAACTGCAAGTGACCATTAGGAAATAGGATAAATAGAAATAATGTCTTTATTATTTTAAGTTGAATGTCAAATTGACAGGTAAATCGTGCTGGATCCCAGAAAACTCAGAGCAGCGATGGTCAGCAATCTGCTTCTTTGGATGTCCAAAAGATTTCGCAACAGGTATCTTCAACCAAACAACAGGAGGAGAATGATTGTAACTGAGTTCACTCCTATTAATGGCACTGTAGGG